ACGAGGGAAGCACAACATCGCCCACATGGACATGGACCCCTCCAGAGGCCTGATGGTGACGTGTGGGAGCGACCGCATCGTTAAGGTCAACAGCTGTTCTTATTATATTGTATAATATAAAAATATATCGGATAATTCATGCATGTATTCAGTCTGACAACATCCACATTAATCAAATATGTAAATGTTTTTAAATCAGGGTTTTTTACTAAGAAGTTTTAAGTATTTAAGAAATGCTCAGATTTCCGCCTCTCAAATCTGTAGATATCCTTTTCTTTGTTGCAAAGTACATTTTCATGGGTATTTTCACTTTTCTGTTATTTGATAGACCATATGATTTCATCTGGAGAAAACAAATCTACAGATTCATCCTCAGTGAAAATAATCGTTGTTTTATTTATTTATTTAATCAATAAAAAGTTCTTAAAGATAACTGGAAAACAAACAAAAATAATAATAATTTATTGAACTGTATTGGCTGTTGTCTCCACAGATCTGGGATGTGACGCAGGTGGTTGGCTGTAGCCTAGCAACAGGCTTCTCTTCGCGCTGATTGGCCAACAAAACCCCACCAAGCCCCGCCCACTCTGCCAGTGTCATGGAAACCCCTCTGTACAGCAACATCAGCCCCAGGAGCCTGTAGCTGCACCCAGGCACGCTCGTGGTGTGTGTGTGTGTGTGTGACTGTAAGTGTGTGTGTGTGTGACTGTAAGTGAGTCTGTGTGTGTGTGTATAGCCCTACACATTCCTAAAGCTTCTCAAACTCCTAATTTCACACATGTTCGGTCCTACACGACAGCGAGTGTGACACATTTTGGACTTTTTGCTCTAACCCGAAGCACAATGGTGTGAGTGTTTGTGCGCGTGTGTGTGTGTTTGTACGTGTGTGTGTGTGTGTGTGTACTTGTGTGTGTGCATGCATCGTAATCTTTCTCCTATGGGAGGAATGGTATTGATATTAGTGTTTACATTATATTAATATTTCCGATGCTTCTTCTGACAGTTTTTTTTTTTTACCCTTGCACTGTAAAGATCACTAAATGGCGAACACATACACTAGCTTGCTCATTACTGTGGCCCACTAACTGCATATTACTCAGTGTAAACAAATCAACATGATCATGTGTACATAGCCCCGCCTCATGTGTATAGTAAACGGCTGCTTCTCGCTGATCAAAAATAATCAGCTTTTCTCGCGTTTCCTTTCACTCGTTGGCCTTAAATCACTCAGGAGGTTTTACATCAGTGGGTTGTCTTCATGTAAACATTATTAATGTGTAATCACTCAGTGGAGGAAAGGAAAGGAAATCAAAGTTACAGCCTCTCTCTCTTTATAAATATATAATGGGAATGTCTTCATACACTGCTGCAGAAATTAGATTTACTCGTCAGATGTTTGCTCTTCGAAGAGAGGCGTGGGAAATGAACGCTGCAGCGGCCCGAGTCGAATTACAATTCAACGTTTGAGCAGTGTGACTTTTTAAGTTATTATTTTCCGCTTTACTGCAACTTTTATCAAGGTGAAACCGCATCAGCACCTCTTTGAAACAATGTGTGCCACTTTCTATATCTACAACGCATAACAAATATACTTATAATGCGTTTTAATCAACTTACAGCATGGAAAAAGCACATTCATACTGGTTTATAACGATTACAACACATTAAAAAAGCATTTTATAATGACTTATAAGCTAAAGTATCATAATACCCTAACACTTTACATGAAAGCCACTTATATAATCCATTCACACGACATTTTAATGTATTTATAAGGTTTAAAATGACTGTTTAAAGGTCTGTAATGCTTTGAAATGTCTTAAAAACAATTCAAAAAGCCTCTTACAAAGCTTCACTAAATCTTATGAACATGCTTTTAATGCAACAGTAACTGAAATGTATTATTTATTTACTTAAAGCATACAAAAAACAACTTATCACATTATTATGCCTTTTTATATCAGTGATATTAAAAAAGGATTATAATATATTACAACTATGGGGATTATAATACACAAAAGAAGTCGGTGAGTGACCTGCAAGTCATTTCATAAGTCATTTTAAAATGCTTATAATTGTTATTTAGCATTATGAATATCACTACCTATAATCATACAGTGTTATAAATGTGTTTATAAACCTTACATTTCTTAGGTAGATGTCACATGGCCTCCGTAAGAAACATTTTCATCTGTTCATTTAAAAATAATACATAAATATTGCACGTTTTTTTGGTGCAAACTCCGATTTTCTGCCCCAATAAAAAGGCACTAAACTTTTTGTAGCACTAACTTCTCATCAGGGTGTTCCTTCAGAAAGCCTTAAGAGAGGACACACACACACACACACACACACACACACACACACACACACACACACACACACACACACACACACACACACACACACAGCCTTTTTTAAATCAACGCTTCCACTCCTTCACTCTCATAAAGCTTTGTGTTTCCTCCCATCTTTACTTTCTAACGCTCTGCACTGAATTGCACAACTCGTGGTCTTTTTGTCGTCAAATTAAACCCCTTTTTCTTTTTGTAAATTCAGATTTTTGGGATGTGGGTAATAGCTGGATTTCCATGTAGCGTCCCTGTAAATAACGGCTACTAGTATCTCCTAACGTTAGACTAACGCTTGCCTTATTGTAAGTGGGGGGGGGGAAAACATAGCATTAAAATGTTGATTTGAAAAATGTACATGTAGTCACATTCCAGGTTTTTGATCATGTGGTGTGTATTTATATTTGTAGTAAAGTATTTATCTATTATTGTGAATGGTGGTTTCCTTTTCTTTCTGTTGAAGAACTCTCTCGTTAATGAAGCACATGAATCCCGCAGTGGTTCGCATCCCAACATGAACACAATATGAACAATTTCCCATCATCCAGACCCGACTTTATGACGTTTAGATTCAACTAAATAATACTTGGGGTTTAGACCGAGTGGTCATATTTTCAACAATTTCAACCATTTCAGTCCTTTTTGTCGTTTTCATCCACAAATGTTTGGCCAAGCGAGAAAAATAAGAAATACGACATTTATACGGATTTCATTTATACGGATTATTTTTCTTAGTGTCTTACTGTACATGTTTTCTATCTAAACAATTGCTTTTAACCCTCCTATTGTCTTCGTCCCCCCCCTTACTTTGGTGTTCACGGTCACATTTGACCGGTCCTGTTTTAACTGCTATTACATTAACACAAAAACCATTAATCATCACCAAATTTCATTTAACACCCTTTCAAACTGTACATATTGTATCAGACTACTGGTATACATGAAAGACTGCAGTAAATATACAAAGAATAGACACTGAACATGTATTGCGTGTGCCAGGTGTGATCCATGTGGGGGGATGGGCACATAAGAGCGGGAAATGTATCAAATTGGTGTGTGTGTGGTGTGTGTGTGTGTGTGTGTGTGTGTGTGTGTGTGTGTAGTGTGTGTGGTGTGTGTGTGTGTGTGTGTGTGTGTGTGTGTGTGTGTGTGTGTGTGTGTGTGTGGTGTGTGTGTGGTGTGTGTGTGGTGTGGTGTGGTGTGTGTGTGTGTGTGTGTGTGTGTGTGTGTGTGTGTGTGTGTGTGTGTGTGTGTGTGTGTGTGTGTGTGTGTGTGTGTGTGTGTGTGTGTGAGCTCCGGATGGTTACTAATTCCTTTTCTTTATGGGGGACCGGGAACACCATGGTGTTACAAAGTTGACTAAATCATCCAAAACTCAATGAAAGTGGTGATCAGCAATTGTATATGTTCAAAAGTCTACTGTGAAGGATATCATAAAGCCTTAATGCAATCCAATCTAAAACAAAAAAGTTATGATTGATGAAAGTAGTAAATCGGTCAGATTTGACCCAAACACAACAGGAGGGTTAAGTCATAAAAACAGGTGAGAAAACATCACTCCCACTATAAAAGATCCCTATTGTCCCTTTAAATTTGCTGAACCCCGTTATATTAGAAAACAAATCAACAATGCCAAAGTGACCTCAGTCTAACCCTAAGTATTATCAAGCGTTAAATAACTTCATAAACACTCATATCCACATCTGGATCTACAGGGTTAACGTCAGGCTGCCGTTCATCAGGAGGAGATTAGTCTCTCCTATCTTCCTCGTTCATTACCTCTCATCACGTCCTGTAACAGATCATTTTTTAGATAAAAGGCTGAACTCCGCAGCAGATGGACGGCAGGATTAACAGCTAATGAAACGGGAGCAGGAAGGAAGCAAGATTTATTCCCTCCATTTTGTTTTTGTCATGTTTAATTCATCAAACACTCGATTTGTACGGCCTTCGTGTTAAAGAAAGGCCACGTCCACAACAAGGTCCATAATCTCAAACTCTGTACATTTTATTCTGTTCGTTTCAACTTCGATGCTTGTAAAAAGACACTTGCTCTTGTTAATGTATCTCCAAAAAAAAGAACAACTGTATTTTTTTTAATACTTTTGTTGACAACACAGTACTGACGAAAGTCTGTCTGTGGCGGAGAGAAAATAAATGATGTTTAATAAAAATATTCTGACTCTTTCTGCTCATTTTCAGGTGTATATCAGTGTGTATTGTCTCTACTTTAAAGAGTCCTCTCCTGCTGATGTTCAGGTGTATATCAGTATGTAGTGTCTCTACTTTAAAGAGTCCTCTCCTGCTGATGTTCAGGTGTATATCAGTATGTAGTGTCTCTACTTTAAAGAGTCCTCTCCTGCTGATGTTCAGGTGTATATCAGTGTGTTGTGTCTCTACTTTAAAGAGTCCTCTCCTGCTGATGTTCAGGTGTATATCAGTATGTAGTGTCTCTACTTTAAAGAGTCCTCTCCTGCTGATGTTCAGGTGTATATCAGTATGTAGTGTCTCTACTTTAAAGAGTCCTCTCCTGCTGATGTTCAGGTGTATATCAGTATGTAGTGTCTCTACTTTAAAGAGTCCTCTCCTGCTGATGTTCAGGTGTATATCAGTATGTAGTGTCTCTACTTTAAAGAGTCCTCTCCTGCTGATGTTCAGGTGTATATCAGTATGTAGTGTCTCTACTTTAAAGAGTCCTCTCCTGCTGATGTTCAGGTGTATATCAGTGTGTTGTGTCTCCTACTTTAAAGAGTCCTCCCCTGCTGATGTTCAGGTGTATATCAGTATGTAGTGTCTCTACTTTAAAGAGTCCTCTCCTGCTGATGTTCAGGTGTATATCAGTATGTAGTGTCTCTACTTTAAAGAGTCCTCTCCTGCTGATGTTCAGGTGTATATCAGTATGTAGTGTCTCTACTTTAAAGAGTCCTCTCCTGCTGATGTTCAGGTGTATATCAGTGTGTTGTGTCTCTACTTTAAAGAGTCCTCCCCTGCTGATGTTCAGGTGTATATCAGTATGTAGTGTCTCTACTTTAAAGAGTCCTCTCCTGCTGATGTTCAGGTGTATATCAGTATGTAGTGTCTCTACTTTAAAGAGTCCTTTCCTGCTGATGTTCAGGTGTATATCAGTATGTAAAGGAATCAAATGGATTTTAGCCTTTGCAGGCCATTTACATTTGCACTACAGGAAAGGGAAAACCCCCAAAAGCACAATAGGGCTCCTTAAAAAAACTCAGCAATGAGACACAAGACACTCAGTCATTTAATTGATTTATTCACACGGGCATTTACAGGATATACTCAGTCAGTAAATGCTTTGTAAAGGTGCTGTGCAGATATTATTGAGACATAAATACAGAGGGTTTATTGCACATGTCAACAGAAGCGGCTGACCTGCAATATAGCAAATACACAAGTTACACACAGATATATTAAATACACATTTCATGAGCTGGTGGTGTGAATTATTAATGCAGTGAGAGTGACTTTGGTCCCATCAGATTCCCATCTGATTGACAACTTTATTAAAGTCACAGTAGTGTATGTGTGTGTGTGTATGTGTGTGTGTGTTCACCATCAGCAAGGGAGACACTACAGGTGAATAGGGTAATATTTTAAACAAATAGATATCACTATGAAACTTTCACAGTTGATTACGTACATTAAGACGATTACTTTTTGTATTACCAGTTTTCTGAAGTACAATGTTAAAATGTGCAAATTAGGCATTCATCTTATTAAATATGTGCTTTCATCCGTTTTAATCCGTTGTCAGGCAGAGTTTCACAGTTCATCTTCATATTTGACGCATTTTAGCCTCCGTTAGTGTTACCTCTGCACATATTATGGATAACATGGACCCAGATTTATTCCCTACATCATCAGGGGGGTGTTTGGGGTTAGTGTGTGTGTGTGTGTGTCGGCGGGGGGGGTCTCCTCCCTCAGTGGGGCTGGAAGGTTTTGGCCATGTCCTCCAGCAGGGACACTAACTTCTGCTCCTCCAGGGCCGAGCAGCGGGTCCAGGCCAGAGGGAGGTGGGCGGACACCATCTTCCGGTCTGTGAACACACACACAAACGGTTCTTCTGATGATGGAGTATAATGGATATCTACGAGAAGTCAGCGCTGATATGTTGTTTGTGTGTGTGTGTGTGCTGGCACCAATAGCAGCCTGATCCAGCTGCAATGGACATAGGCCAAACACACACACACACACACACACACACACACACACACACACACACACACACACACACACGAGATTCAGACGATAGCGTTTATTGAGTTAAGAAATGTAGAAAGTCATGATGAATAGAAGCAAATAGGTGCTGCGTTTAAAAACAGCAAACTTTATTGAAACATCTGCTGCTACTGCTACAAACTTCAACACAACATGTGAGGTTGAATCTGAATGTATGGACAGACATACAAATGACTGTCCACTAAAAATATTACTGTTAAAACGCTTCAGGATAGTTTCACACTTCTTCTTAATAGTTCGTTTTTAGCACAAAAGCACGTTCATGATCTAGTTTTGCTGTTGTTAAACTCAACCCACATTACATTCCTTTCATCAAGACTTTCCTCCTCACGGTTTCACCTTAGTTGGCAGTGAAGGTAAGAGAAAAAACACCTTTTTATTTATATAAGCAGGTAAATTAAAGGTGAGATCTCACCCTGGTAGAAGCGTCCGCTGGGGTTCTTGACGGCGGCCTCAGAGACGGAGAGCCACACCACGGTGTCTGCGCCCTGCTCAGGGGCCCGGAGGCTCTCCTTCATCGAGCGGTGGAAATCTGGCATAGCATTGGCCACCGCTGACACACACAGACAGACAGACAGACACACAGACAGACACACACACACACAGACAGACACACACACACACAGACAGACAGACATATACACACAGACAGACAGACACACACACACACACACACACAGACAGACAGACAGACACACACAGACAGACACACACACACAGACAGACAGACAGACATATACAGACAGACAGACACAGACAGACACAAAGACAGACAGTTTTTATAGTTGATGATTAAAACCAAGAAGATCCCTTTTCCATGACTCTGTCTATTGTCCTAGACTTCCAGCTACTGTCTTTTTTGTTTTGTACTCCAGATATGTCATATCCTTGCACATATTGTTCAGGTCGGTTTGGGACTGGGTAAGGGGTAAATGTGTAATGTGTTGATGTTTGTTGTTGTCTTTAAAAAAATCTAATAAAGATATTTCTGAGAAAAAACCAAGAAGATCTAAAAAGTGTTTGGTCGAAATGTGGTTTAAATCTTATAAAAACAATCTGACAACGTGTGTGTGTGTGTGTGTGTGTGTGTGTGTGTGTGTGTGTGTGTGTGTGTGTGTGTGTGTGTGTGTGTGTGTGTGTGTGTGTGTGTGTGTGTGTGTGTGTGTGTGTGTGTGTGTGTGTGTGTGTGTGTGTGTGTGTGTGTGTGTGTGTGTGTGTGTGTGTGTGTGTGTTACCTACCTGGTGTGTCCACCCAGCCTGGGTGCATGACAGAGAAGTGGATGTTAGTGTGAGTCTTTGCCAGCTGCTCCGTCATCACCACCTGCTGCCTCTGCAACACACACACACACACACACACACACACACACACACACACACACACACAGAGTTTGTCAGTGTCTGTTAACACTGTAACGCTACTACAGAGGCTCTGATGTTTTCAGACTAACTTTCATTTGCCAACATATTGGTTTCATGCTCTTCACGCAGTATCTTTGAAGTCAGATAAATAGATGAGTGTTTTTACTTTGTGCTGGGCGTACACCATGGTTCCGTCGAAGCGTCCTCTCTCTGACTGAAGGTTTCCTGTCCTCAGCTTCTGCACCAACATCCCCCCCGAAGACACCGTGATCTGAACACACACCGAGAGAAGACTTAAATCAGAAGGACATCATATACAATCCTACATTCTTATTACGTCTATGCATTGTGGGTGGACATAAATCAGTACGACTTTTTAACTAGTGTATTTTAATACATTTTTTAAGCATTTCTATTGTTGTATTCTTTCTATTTAAAGGTGGGGTAGGTAAGTTTGAGAAACCGGCTCGAGATCGCTAGAATTTGAAAATACACAGCCAGAAAAAATCTCCCACTTCCTTACAGAGCCCCTCCTCCAACACACACGAACGCGCACATGACCAATGAGGGCACGAGATAAGTTTGTGCACAGATGGAAGGCTGACAGGCAGGTAGGCCATCCAGTTATTTTAGCCGGGCCGGCTCAGATGATTGGTCGTGCTTTTTACAGTATTACGGCTTCCACAGATGATATATTTTTATGGATTTTTTGTCAAAGCACTTCAGATATTCATTGCTATCGGGATGTTAAGAGCATTCCATGGAATATAACAAAACGTGTATCTCGAGCCGGTTTCTCCAACTTACCTACCCCACCTTTAATAGAAATATTATACTTTATTCCAATTAACTCATCGTAATAGTTGTTTCCTTGCAGATTAATACTTTACATAATAAATCTATATTAAATGTTATAGATCAAACTACAGTACTGTGACTATAAAATTGTAAACATTTTGTTATTTAGTGATTTTTCAATCATGTGTTTTATTGCATATGGCATACATTTTGACAAGCTTTTTACGTCATGCGATCAAGTTAAACGTATAACTTGATCGCATGGCCATTACACCACAAAATCATTATTTCTATAACACCAAATGTAAGATCTGTACCTCTGGTTTCAAATTGTACTTTTTTTATGTGCATGTCTCGCACCAGAAATAAACCATTAAATATTCACCAGAGAGGACTCTTTAAAGACACTACATACTGATATACACCTGAACACTACATACTGATATACACCTGAACATCAGCAGGAGAGGACTCTTTAAAGTAGAGACACTACATACTGATATACACCTGAACATCAGCAGGAGAGGACTCTTTAAAGTAGAGACAATACATACTGATATACACCTGAACATCAGCAGGAGAGGACTCTTTAAAGTACATATTAGTATATTTGGAAGGACATATTGTACCACCAGAGGCTCAAAATGTAGAATCTCTGAGCTGTTTAAAAGATTAGAAACAACAAGCGTCCACAACTTCAGTGAGGCGTCTCTCAGACTCACCACTCTGGGGTCTGGGCTCTTCTCCAGGAGAGGAATCAGACTCTTGGTGAGAATGTAAACCCCTAATGGACAAAAAACACTTTATTAACAATCTGTTTTGTTTTTCTACCCTTAAAAATATCTCTAGTATCTGCTTTTTTCTCCAGCAGAGGAATGGGACTCTTGGTGGGCGGGTAAACCTTTAGTGGACAAAAAAACACTTTATTCATCATTTTTATCTGCATCTCTTCACACTTATTTCTAGAGCTTTCACTCACCGAGGACATTGGTCGCGAAACTCTTCTCCAGACCCTCAGTGTTCACCTCCCTCTCACTCAGGATGGCGCCTGCGTTATTTATCTGCAGAGATGAGAACAGAACATTTAAAAGAAATTAATTTTGAAAAAACTGAAGTCAACTGTCTGAATGTTTACTGAACAACCAACCAATCAATCAATCTATCAGTCAATCCACCAACCAACCAATCAGTCAACCAACCAACCGACCAACCAATCAATCAGTCAACCAACCAACCGACCAACCAATCAATCAGTCAACCAACCAACCAACCAACCAATCATCTAACCAACCAATCAACCAATCAACCAACCAACCAACCAACCAACCAACCATCTAACCAACCATCTAACCGACCAACCAACCAACCAACCAACCAACCAACCAACCAACCAACCAACCAACCAACCAACCAACCAACCCATCATCCAATCAATCAATCAATCAATCGACCGACCGACCGACCGACCGACCGACCGACCGACCGACCAACCGACCAACCAATCATCCAACCAACCAACCATCCCAACTACCGACCGACCGACCAATCATCCAACCAACCAACCAACCAACCAACCAACCAATCAACCTATCTTTAAATATATATAGTTATTTCTATATCCAACAGCTACACAAAATGCTTCATAAACCAGAAAAACAAACAAAAGAAAACAAGCCCCTGCCCTTCTAATCCATAAACAGAACAACACATAGATCAATAAACACAGGACTGAACTAAACAATAAATCAAATTCAATTAGAAGCCACGTTAAAAGAGTGGGTCTTAACAATATCTTCCGCCCTAAGGTCACCTACATCTGAATCACATTACAATATATTCTTCCAAATATAGTAATATGTACTTCATGTCTCTCACCAGTACGTTGAGGGTCTTATATTTTCTCTTGAATCCCTCGGCAAACTCCCAGACCTTCTTAGTCTCAGAAAGGTCCAGGATGTGGACGAACACCTCCTGAAAGACATCATCACAGGGGGTTAGATTTATATTTAGTAGAAGTATTAATAACACAGTGTAGAAGTATTAAAATACTGCATTCAAAAGGTAACATTACAAAACTATTAAACACTTAAATCTACGTAGAACGCCAAAACTTCAAGTATTCATTATGAAGGATTGTCATTTTCGTAATAATAGATACTATAATATATATAATAGATTATTATTATATTACATCATAAGAAGTGCTGTGTTCTCCATAGAAACATAACGGCAAAGGGTAAGACATTTGATTTGATATGCGATGATGCATCAGAGTAAATACACTGTAAAGCAGCAGTTCCCAACCTTTTTCAACTCAGGGCCCACTTAAGAATCTAAAAAATGTTCGCTGCCCACATTCAACCACAAACAATATGGAGGCTAAATAAAGTTCTCAGAGTACTTTTTATTTTAATTAGAAAAGGAGCTGGCCATCAGTAACAAACAGACATTTTTATTACACGGTTTAGTTGAATACTCGATTTTGATTGGTCAATTCAGAACATGTGACACATTGGAAATCCAGTAGTACAGACCGCTGTCAAGGACTGTAGTGTTATTTGGCGGCCCACTTGCAATGCCTTTCGCGGACCACTAGGGGGCCACGGCCCACAGGTTGGGAACCGCTGCTGTAAAGAATGAAGTCTGTTTTTGTAATGTTTGGCTGTTTTTATAAAGTTTTATGGGTTTTAAATTGTGATTATGCTGGAACCTGTTAATGGACAGTCAAGTGGACATTTTGAAGGTTGTCTGTCCCCGTGTTTTTTTAAACGTCTGTGGATCAGTGAGTCATTCTGTACTTTATTTCCCGTCTCTTTGACGATTTCGGCCCTCGCCTCTTCGGCCTTGTCCTTGTTCCTGCAGACCATGTGGATCGTTCCTCCTGTGCAGAGACGGAAATATTAATACCTTCCATTCATTATTCATCATAGATTTTGGATCTAATTTATCATTATAAAGTCAAATAATGCAACTGCCTTTTTGACATGGTCTTTGCTAGTAAGGCAACTTTTTAATAAGTGCAATCAACCGTGAAGATACAAAGTCAAAACAGCAATAATCCTGCAGCTATTGGATTAGCATTATTAGCTTATACAAACGTCATAGCATAACAATTATAAAAACATTATACAACATTATGAGTATTGCCATGTGATAAAAGCATGTGACTGAAGGTAATGGAGATGGAAACTAGGTGATGGATATTAGTTGACAATGAAAAGACAGATGTGAATAGATGGCAAAAAGAAAAGTCTTCATTCTGGATTTAAAAGTAGTGAGAGTTGCATTATTAGCTAACCTTTCTTAGCGATGTTCATGGCGGTGGCTTTCCCGATGCCGCTGTTAGCTCCCGTTATCATGAAGGAACGTCCGGCTAAAGACGCCTCCAGGTCCTTCTCCACGAAGCTCTTGGAGGCCGACAGGAAGGCGCTCCTGCAGGAGAAAAAAAACCCACATTTACTGCATTGTATTCAGGTCTGCAAACATGCTTAGTGCGCACACTTTGAATCTCTGCAGCACGAGGGACGACACGACGAGGTTTGTAGTTTGAGATTCATGAGATTAGGTATAGTAAAGGTCATTTAACATCTCAATATAGTGTTTTTATAGTCATTCAAAATCTTCAAATGCAATCCCTTTCAAGATATTTCATAGTCTTTTCTGGGACATTTGAGTTTATAAACACTTGTAAATATCAAATTAGATTCCAATCAGGATATCTCAATAAAGGATTTTCATCGTGTGTGTGTGTGTGTGTGTGTGTGTGTGTGTGTGTGTGTGTGTGTGTGTGTGTGTGTGTGTGTGTGTTCAGGTCAGAGAGGGTCAGTGTTGGCTTACTGTACGTACTGTAAACAGACACAATGAAGATGAGAGCGTGCCTGGCATCAGAGGCGGTTTGGGGTGAGATCTGTGTGTGTGTGTGTGTGTTTGTCTGTGTGTGTGTGTGTGTGTGTGTGTGTGTGTGTCTGTTACTGTGTGTGTGTGTGTTTGTCTGTGTGTGTGTGTGTGTGTGTGTGTGTGTGTGTGTGTGTGTGTGTGTGTGTGTGTGTGTGTGTGAGGACTTCAATTGCCCTCATTGTCCTGGATGCCATTGTTGGAATAAAGGGAACTAAATGCCGCTCTGTTCGCTGGTGTCATGCAGCGAGCGATTAGTGGGGTCAGAGCGGGTTACTCTGTGTTAAAAGATAACACAGAACAAAGGGGAGCGGGGAAACAATCACAAAAGCACCTCTTCACACAGCTGGTCCTGTTGTGAACCCATGAGGAAAAGGCTCCGCGGGGAAGAAATGGATCAGATAGGAGACTGATACAATCTTTTGAGGTTGTAAACTGACTTTGTAGTCGAACACGGCTCCTGCTGAGTCACTGGAAATGTGATTATTACATTCATTTGTAATATTCAAAGATGCGCTGCAGTTGTTTTCTGAAGTCTTGAATCATCAACTACCATGCAGTAGAAACATGGAGTTATACTATAATCCCTTTTCAAAGATCCAGTCCTTACATAACCTTTGACCCTACATGACCTCATATAAGCATCACTCCACGGACGTTCACAATGTGGGGTAAAAATGGCCAATTTGCCCTCATTGGCTACTTCTTTGGAGGAAAATATTTGATTAAATTATTTATTTTTGCCTTAGTGGTTGCCTAAAAAGGAGCAGCCCATAATTTCTAAAGTTAAACCAAATAAGTATGTGGAAATCTTTCCAAACTTGTATGACTTTTTATGATAGGCATGTCTCAATGGGATGTAAAAACATATACAGATAAATGCGTCTTAACATAACCCTTACTTACATTCTTTAGCAGTAAGATTACATTCACTTAAGGGTGAGTTTTTGCCTGTATCCTCTTGCAAAATCGATGCTAAATCAACATTTTAATACTGATATTTAGCTTTGCATGCTACCCTAAGGTGTCGAGTTATTCAGATGAGTTTACATCCCTACAGTTTGAATGAATTAAACAACTACAAAATGTTCTCGTTTGATAATTTATTTACTTACACATTATGGTGGTTTGCTTTGGGTGTGTGTGTGTGTGTGTGTGTGTGTGTGTGTGTGTGTGTGTGTGTGTGTGTGTGTGTGTGTGTGTGTGTTCAGGTCAGAGAGGACAAGTGTGCAGTTTTTAAATGCAACGTTTCAAACCATTCACAAACTTTCTAAATTGATCCACAGCTAGTTTACTGACCATATTTGATATTAGTGTTAAGGCTGAAACTATTATAATAACTTCTAATAATCATTTAGTCTGTTAAATATCAGACATAAATGAAAGATGTCAGTTTAAGAGCTCAATGTCTTGTTATGTTCAAGCAACAGTCCAAAAAAACCTTGTTTTATGTAATCTGAAATAAAACAAAGACAAGCAGCAAATGTTCACATTTAAGAAGCTGGAATTTTTCCTTTAAAGAAAATATCAAATGTAACATATTTTGTCGTTGATTTACTGAAGTGACAAATATTTCCAGCAACTTATCATGCCGGTAACTCTCCTTTGTGAGATTGGACAGTTTAGGCGGGGTTTTGCATACATTGGTGCCTGTGATGTTGATTTTATTTAGTATCAGAAATACAAATAAATCACGAGGAAACATCTTCAGTCATCACGCCTCAATAATCACATTTTTATGAACAATATAATAAGACTTTTTTTTCTTTTCTGTAATGAGAATTATACAAAATAACTAATATTAAGGTATACATAACTTATTGTAGTTTGCTTTGGTTTGTCTATTTAAACAGTAATAACCTATTAGTATGTGTAATATAAGTCTGTTTGAGTTGTAGGCTATAAGTTAGTTGAAATAAACCTAACAAATTAAAAAAGAATAGCCTATTCCTTAACTTGCTTTCAATATTTGAGTTGCTTGAACTTGAAGTATACTGTACTTATATTTGTAGAATAATAATAAATACAATGTTTCTTCACACATAAACCAGTGAGGATAGAACATATTTAAACTCAATTTATTATAGTTTTCATGCTGCCTTTCAAAAAGTAATTGTACCTAATGATAACAACCATAAAACTCAATATTACAGGCTTTTCAAGACCTTTTTTACATACTTTAATGAAGCCTTTTTCCTACCTGGTGAACTCGGTGAGCCCCTTCAGGAACCAGGCGGAGTTTCGGTACAGAGACATGGTGCAGATCCGGGAATGCTCTCTCTCTGCCGGCCTCTCCGCGGGCCTTTTACCCGGGACCAGAACCACGTGGAGCTGGATTTACATCAGGGGGGTGGGGGGCGACACCCTCTTATTATACATCCATGTGACACCCCCACAGACCCCTAGCGGCAGGAAGGAGGAGGTTCAGTTTGTTAATGATTGAAATACAGCAAGTTAGACATCATCATTAGTAGGTGAGAACAGCTGGAAATTAACAATGTTGGCTAAAGCTGCCCCATATACTGTTCTTTGTGACAGTTGATCAATGGGGACTAGTCCACGACACTCGTTTTGAACTAAATCATTAGTAGGTAATCTTTAAAAAACGGATCTAAATGTAAAAAATAACCCAATAGAAAAGTGGTGAAAGTACAGATTTGTTGAGTGGCTATTGGGCTATTTCAAAAGAGTGCCACTTTTATGACTTGTTTGCACTTTTGGATTTTAAAAGATCTGCAGCACTCTCAGTCCAACAATGGAAAAAGTGTCTTTGTTATTTTCCAATATATTTAGAGAGTTCAGTCCTCCACCCACAGCAGGTTCACCTGTCTGTGGGAGTCGGGGGCGCGCAGCGGGGGCGCGGCTCCGCCTGGAGAATGTGTGGGAGCGCGCACTGCTTTCTGCTATTAACGCGACAGCAGCACGAGAGGACTGCAGGGTGCTGAGATAAATCACAAACCCGAAGGATTTTACATCTCAGGTGACAGGATGGTGAGTACCCAAGCTCTCTGCAGTAGTTGCCGCGTGCACCTGTCCGCGAGGCAAAGTGTCCTGCAGAGCGATCACTTTCTGACAGAGAAACACTGTGTGAGGCTACTTCCTTGATCAAAGGTCGCTTAATTCCTGATTTTCCTACGTGTAACAGGTGGAAAACAAGCAGGAAAGTTAGTCAGAATGATCACATTTCATTATATAGCGAGCTCTGAGTGTTGTGTCTGACAGGCGAATGGATGCAAGTCTCCAAACACTGCAGGACATTACATGTGTTTTTGATGATTTTAACAACATGAGGAATCTGGGTACAAGTAGGCTACAAGAACAATCATATATTTTACATTTTTTAAAGCCAGTGGTGGAAGGTGATTTAGTACATTTACTATATATGTTTTAACGTATACTTTACTCTATTTTATACTTCTACTCCACTCCAATTTGTAGAAAAGATTGGACTTTTTACTCCACTTTTTCAAGTTTATTTGACAACATTAGTTTGATTGCATGCAGAGGAGGGAGAAGTATTCATATCTTGTACTTGAGTAAAAGTAGAAGTACTCATATCTTGTACTTGAGTAAAAGTAGAAGTACTCAGATCTTGTACTTGAGTAAAAGTAGAAGTACTCATGTCTTGTACTTGAGTAAAAGTAGAAGTACTCAGATGTTGTACTTGAGTAAAAGGAGAAGTACTCAGATCTTGTACTTGAGTAAAAGTAGAAGTACTCAGATCTTGTACTTGAGTAAAAGGAGAAGTACTCATATATTGTACTTGAGTAAAAGTAGAAGTACTCATATCTTGTACTTGAGTAAAAGTACTCAGATATTGTACTTGAGTAACAGTAGAAGTACTCAGATCTTGTACTTGAGTAAAAGTAGAAGTACTCAGATCTTGTACTAAAGCAAAAAGAGAAGTACTCAGATCGTGTACTTGAGTAAAAGTAGAAGTACTCAGATCTTGTACTTGAGTAAAGTAGAAGTACCAGAGTGTAGGAATACTCTGTTACAGTAAAAGTCCTGCATTCAAAATGTTCCTCAAGTAAAAGTAGAAAAGTATTATCATCAAAATATAGTTAAAGTAGCGACAGTAAAAGTAGTCATTGTGCAGATTGGTCCATTTCAGAATAATATATATGATATGTTTTCTAATGATTGATCATGAAAGTGTTCTCAAAGCTGGTAAAGGTGCAGCTAGTTTGAATGACTTTGTATACTGCAGGGTAGCTTGTGAATTTACTCCAGGTGGAACTAAAGTCTGATTTAACACTTGATTATACTGTTTTGGATGCCAGAGTTGTACTTGTAGCAAAGTGTTTCTACACTGTGGTATTACTACTTTTACTTAAGTAAAAAGGCTAGTCGAATAGTTGTTCGTTCTCTGTTAGAAACATATAATTGTCATGTTTTGACAGCAACACTAAACATCTGGCGCTCCTCAGGGCGGAGAGCTCTCATTAGTTTTGTTGAGCAACACACTGAGTTTCTGTGATTGCAGACGGTTCAACTCCCTGCTGATGTTTCTGCATGTTGAGAAATCTAACAGTGACCTCACACATGAGTGCTTTACTTTAGCTTCAAGCAGCTCAATGTGGGAGTGTTATTCTGCGTGTGTGTGGTGTGTGTGTGTGTGTGTGAGTGTTTTTCTCTGTTGACATGCAACCCATAAACCACATTTTAGTTTTATCTGCCCTTAAGCCACAAGATGTTCGTCCTGTTTTTGCAAAGCAAGATAAACACAGAGATAGGGAAAGATCTTTGGCTGAAGAATATGTACTAACACTTCTGTTGAAATACTCTGTTACAAGTAAAAGTCTGGCATTAAAAGCCTTACCACAAAAGCATAACCATCAATGTATTATTAAAATATAAAAATACAGCATTATAACTTAAAGTACTTGATTCAAAAATGTTACTTAAAGGTAGGTAAAGCCAGCTCGAGTGCGCTAGAATTTGAAAGTACACAGCCGAAAAAAATCTGCCCCTTCCTTCAGACTTCCTTACAGAGCCCCTCCTCCAACACACACGAACGCGCACATGACCAATGAGGGCACGAGATAAGTTTGTGCACAGATGGAAGGCTGACAGGCAGGTAGGCCATCCAGTTATTTTAGCCGGGCCGGCTCAGATGATTGGTCGTGCTTTTTACAGTACTACGGCTTCCACAGATGAAATATTTGTTTATATTTATTCCTTTTATTCTTTTTGTTATATTCCATTCCATGGAATATAACAAAAAGTGTTTCTGAAGTGAATTACCTACCCTACCTTTAGGCAAGGGTAGGTAGGCAAGGCAAGGCAAGGCAAGTTTATTTATATAGCACCTTTCAACACAAGGCAATTCAAGGTGCTTTACAAAAATGAAAGACATTCAGACAAAGGCATTTAAAAACATTAAAAGAAAAAATACATGAATAAAAAGTTACAGTGCAGTTTAAGATGTGAATAGTTAAATTAAAAGCAGCGGCAAAAAGAAAAGTCTTCAGCCTGGATTTAAAAGTAGTAAGAGTTGCAGCGGACCTGCAGGTTTCTGGGAGTTTGTTCCAGATATTTGGAGCATAATAACTGAACGCTGCTTTACCATGTTTAGTTCTGACTCTGGGGACAGAAAGCTGACCAGTCCCTGAAGACCTGAGAGATCTGGATGGTTCATAATTTAGCAGTAGATCAGAAATGTATTTTGGGCCTAAACCATTCAAAGCTTTATAAACCAGCAGCAGTATTTTGAAATCTATTCTTTGACACACAGGAAGCCAGTGTAAGGACTTCAGAACAGGAGTGATGTGATCCACTTTCTTAGTGTTAGTGAGGACTCGAGCAGCGGCGTTCTGAATCAGCTGCAGCTTTCTAATAGATTTTTTAGTGAAGACACCATTACAGTAGTCCAGTCTACTGAAGATAAGAGCAAGGACAAGTTTTTCCAAATCCTGCTGTGACATTAGTCTTTTAATCCTAGATATGTTCTTTAGGTCAGTGGTTCCCAACCTGGGGGGCGCCAAAGATCGCAGGGGGTGCGCCAGGCCTCAGATGATTTGAGGCCAAATATCATATTTAGACTCTCTTTTTTTTTTTTTTTTACATATAATTGTAACGCAATACATGATTGTCACTAAAAGCCTTGTCTCTACATTACAATAAAAATAAATAAATAATTGATTAATTAATTTGAATAAAAATTCAAGTTAGTAGCTATTAAAGGCATAAAAAGACAGAAATGTATAATTCTTTCTTTAATATAAATGTTTCTTCTGCCCGTAAAGTGTCCAAACCAGGCTTTTCTGGATAAGCACATTTTTAAAACATAGTCATTGTCCATGTCGGTTTCAGTTGGATTATTTGTCACAGTTGCTCCGATCAGATCGGTCTCCTCCGTTTTGTAGATTATTTATGACTTTTGAATCCACATAAACACATCGGCAAAATCCGGCTTAATGTGTTTTAAACAGTTTACATTTTTGAATTAAAATGATCTACTAGCTAATTTACTGAGATGTTAGCAGGGGCAAGTGTGGAAGAAAAATTCTGAGTAAACATTTCCCTAGTATTTTCAGTTAAATATCGCTTTGTGGTTACCTCTTTTTGGACATTTGTGTGAACAGAAATAGAGCTCTCAAAGGAATGATCAGAGAGTGCAACATCAGTCACCACAACCTCAGAGATATTCAGACCCTTTGGAATAATTAAGTCCAGAGTGTGCCCCTTATTGTGCGTGGGCTCCGCCACATGCTGAGTCAGTCCATAGCTATCAAGAACACAAAACAGTTCTTTAGCCCCTCTGTCCTGGGGGTTGTCAACATGGATGTTAAAATCACCAACAATGACTAGACGGTCAAAGTCAATACACACTATAGACAGCAGTTCAGTAAAGTCATCAAAAAAGCTTGCACAGTATTTGGGTGGTCTGTAGATATTTAGGAACAGAGCTCGAGAGGAGCATTTCAGCTGAAGGGCCACAAAGAAGCAAAGTCCCCATAAGATGTCTTCCTGCATTGAAGGGAGTCATTGAACAAAATAGCAACTCCACCCCCTTTCTTATGCATTCTTTCCTGACTCATAAAACTAAAGTTGGGAGGTGTTGATTCGATAAGAACAGCTGCACTGTTATTTTGTTCAATCCAAGTTTCCGTTAAAAACATAAAATCGAGATTGTGCTCAGTGATAAAATCATTGATTAAAAATGTTTTTCCTGCCAAAGACCTGACATTTAATAAAGCTAGTTTAAGTTTGTTAAATACACTATCAGTCGGATTTTTTGTGACAAGCTGTGGCTGACATGGAATCACGTCTTCTAAATTTGATAAACTCACACAAACTTTTGAGCGCTTCCTGTTTCTAAGCTGATTCACCGATCTCAATCTATTACCTATAGGGATGTCCCGATCACCTTTTTTTTGCTCCCGATCCGATTCCGATCATTTGATTTTGACAATCTGCCGATACCGATTTTTCCCGATCAGATCTTTATGCAATGCATTAAGAGGAAAAAAAAGGTAACAGATAACGGCTGGTCATCCAACGCGATGAATTCAGCTATCTTGGCAGTTCTGGGGTAGTTTCTCTTTCCTTTTAAAAGTCTCTGAAAGTGTCGGTTGTTTCAGTGCCGTTACCTGAGTGGCCGCTGTGTACTCGTCGTGTTGTTGTTGGTGGTGTTTGTATTAGATTGGTCATGTTGAACGTAGTTCTGTTCTTTCCACCACGCGGAACCTCCGCCTTGCAAACATTGCATCTGGCTGTTACACTGCCTTCGCTTTCAATTTTATAATACTTCCAAACTCCTGACATTTTCTCTGTCCCGACTCCCGAGTCACCAGCTGAACGTAGCCTCTTGTTAGCTTACTGCTACTATTAGACACTGCGCCCTGCCCACTCTGTTGCCAGATTTGAGAGAAATAAGCAACCAGGTCTATGAAAACAAGCCCAAAAGAAGCAACACATACATGATGTTGTGTAATTTTAACCCAAAACTAAGGCCTCAGGATGACTTTAAGACGTGAACATGGTCATTTTTGTTTTGTAACATTAAATAAAATGTATAAAAATATTTTATAAAAAAAAAAAAAAAAAAAAGAAAAATTCCGATCCCCGATTTTTTTCTCCCGATCGCCGATCACGTGAAAATCACGTGATCGGCTCCAATCCCCGATCACGTGATCGGATCGGGACATCCCTAATTACCTATCAACACAGATATCAGCAAAGCTACTGGCAGGCAGGGCCCCGGCTTGTCCTGGAAAGAGTTGAGAGTGCCATACGCCCTTGAGCCTGGACCCAGCACATATCAGTTAGAGTTTGTTGCGTTGTGTACACACACATCCTTATCAGGCTTCGGAGACTGCAGATGCTTTCTTGAAGGGGGGAGGACGTTTTGGTCCGGATGATTGTGGTAGGCATGGTGACGGGGGTGATGGTGCGTGTCTATGCTTCTGTGATTTTGGTGGGCGTCGTTGAGGAGGGGCGGGGGTAAAGGACATGCTGCCAACCCTGCGTATCGCCTTCATGCTGCGGGCATTGAACTCCAGGAAGGACTTGGTGCCAACCCTCTGTATCTCCTTCATCTGCTCATCAAACTCCAGGGGGGTGGGCGAGGGTGAAAGGGTGAGCGGAGAGTAGAGAGAGCTGGGGTGTGAAGGAAGAGTCAGTCTTAAAAAGATGTCTGCGGTCCCAGAAAAAGTCAATAAAATGGACAGAATGGTGAGTACAGGCAGTTGAAAGCCACGTGTTCAGTGCAAACAATCTGCTGAATCTCTCCACTCCTCTTCTGACTGGCGGTAGAGGGCCACTGATGAACACCTCCGCATTTAGAGAGCTGACAGTTTCCAACAGACATTTAAAGTCTTTTTTTTAAGTAAAAGTGCAGAAATATAATAAGCAAAAGGAGCTTTTAAAAGTACACATTATGCAGGATGGCTCCTTGTAAAGTTTAATATTATTGTAGAATATCAAAGGTGGAGAAAGTACTGGGATATTTGACTTAAGTAAAAGTAGTAATACCACAGTGTAAAAGTAGTAATACCACAGTGTAGAAGTACTCTGTTACAAGTGAAAGTCTAGTATAGAAGTTTTAAAATATACTTTAAGAACCAAACTACAGGAACTCATTATGCAGAATGCCCCTTTTCAGATGAACATATATAATATCACTGAATGACATTAATTACCTAAGTCTATACAAGTAGAAGTATAAAGTAGCCTAATAAATGAAAATAAAGGAATGTATATAAACCTCTATTAGTACAATACTCTAGTTCACATACTTGAGAAAGTACTGGGATCATTTACTACAGGACAATTAGTAATAGTAGTAGTAGAATTATATATGGCATAAAGTGAAAATAAAGGAATGTATACAAACCTCCAGAGGTGGGAAGTAGTGGAGTACAAATACTTTGTCACTGTTCTTAAATAAATGTTTCTGGTATCAGTACTTTACTCCACGACTTGTTTTTCTGACGACTTTTTACTTTGACTTCTTACATTTTGAACACAAATACCTGTACTTTCTACTTCTTACATTTTGAACACAAATACCTGTACTTTCTACTTCTTACATGTTGAACCCAAATACCTGTACTTTCTACTTCTTACATTTTGAACCCAAATACCTGTACTTTCTACTTCTTACATGTTGAACACAAATACCTGTACTTTCTACTTCTTACATGTTGAACACAAATACCTGTACTTTCTACTTCTTACATTTCCTAAACAGGCTGGTTCTTTTAGTTTGAATGTGTGTTTGGTGGCGTGATCATTATTATTTAGAGTCATTGTGTGCCTATTGATTTGAACACGATCCGTGTATCCATCATTTCCTGGTCTTCTCTAAAGAAGAGGGACCAATGAAAACGTTGTCATGTTGCCGTTTTTCAGCATGGAAACTTTCATTAGTTAACAATGACATTATTGTTCTATTAATATAAAGGGAGGTCAGGTACTCTTTAAAATAGCTGCTAGTTATGGGTACTTTTTACTGAAGTACATTTCAAAGCCCATACTTCTTTACTTTTACTTGAGTAAAGAAGTTTAGTCAGTACTTCTACTTTGACCAGAGTAAACACGAGTATCTGTACTTCTACTTGAGTACAGGATGTGTGTACTTTTCCCATCCCTGCACCACTCTCTTGGACAGTGCTCTAGTTACTCTTCACACACACTTCATTAACTCTTCTGAATGTTTTATAAGTGTGTATTTTCCTCTCTTTTCCTCCCAGATGCGCTTCCTGCTGCTCTTCAGCCGGCAGGGGAAGCTTCGGCTTCAGAAATGGTTCACTCCGGTTTCAGATCGGGAGAAAAAGAAGGTGATCCGTGACATGATGCTGCTCGTGTTGGCACGGCAACCACGATCCTGCAACTTCCTGCACTGGAGGGACCTGAAGATCGTTTACAAGAGGTGCAAACAGAACAATACGATACGAAATGATACGCTACAATACGATACGATATAATACGATATGATACGAAATGATACACTACAATACGATATGATACGAAATGATACACTACAATACGATACGATACAATACGATATGATACACTACAATAAGATACGATAAGATGGAAAACAATACGATACCAACAAATACGATACGCTGTGATTAGATACAAAACGATACAATACAATACAATCCGAAATGATGGGATACAATACGATAAGACACAAAACGATACAATACGATACGTTATAATACGATAAAAAACGATATGTTACAATACTAAACGATACAAAACTATACGATACAACATAAAACGTTACAAAACGAAATGATACCAAATAATATGATACACTACAATACGATATGATAAGATACAAAACAATACGATGCGATACAATACGCTGTCATTACATAAAAAACGATACGATACAAAACAATACGATACAATATGTTAAACAATTAAATGTAATGATACAAAACAATACGATATGCTACGATAAGATACAAAACGTTACGATACAAAATGATAGGATACAATACGATAAGACACAAAACGATACTATAAGAAACAAAATGATACGATACAATACGATACGTTTTAATACGATATGTCACAATACAAAACGATACGAAGCAATCCAAAACTATTCGATACAACATAAAACGTTACAAAACGATATGACACAAAATGATATATTACGATACCTTATGGTACGATAAGATACAATATGATACAATGCAAGACGATAAGATATAAAATACGATACGATACAATGCAAACAATACTATAACAAACAAAACAATACGATAACAAACAAAATGGTACGATTACTGTACAGCTTGAGTTTCTCGATACTTCACAGATTTAAGTTTTGCCTACAAAGTATAAGTCAACTATTAATATATGATATTTGTGGTGAAGCTACCCAGCTGAATATAACATAACTCAAATAAAGACCAGAGTGTTTTAATACAGTTTTTTTTCTTCTTTTACTTAAGTGTAATATTACTAGTACTATAACTAGTTTCTAGTACTTCTTCCCCCCGCACTAGTATCGCTTTGTTTATCAGCGGTCTCTTTTACTGCAGGTATAAAAGCAGAATTTTCCTTTGTCTGCGTTTAATGATTAACTCGTGTTTCCTGTGCTTAAGCTTCTAAATACACACACACACACACACACACACTCACACTCACACTCACACTCACACTCACACTCACACTCACACACACACTCACAGTCAACAATGTGTTAACAATACATGGAAAGAGTAAAGGTCAAAGCAGAGGAGGGGGAAGTAGAAGAAGTACTCGGATCCTTTACTTAAAGGGGACCTGTCATGCAAAATGCACTTTTTGGTGTCTTGTATACATAACTATGTGTCCCCGGTGTGTCAGGGAACTCACGCAGTATCAGAAAATAAAACTGTTGTGGAGATCCAGCACTCTCACAACAGGAAAGAATGAAACAGAGAGGAGTCAATAAAACACAAACACAGATATAGCTGATCAGTAATTATTATTTAGTTGTTGCAACAAACAAACAATAATGGGGAAACATTACCTGCTGCCACAGCAGCCAATCGTGGAACTGCCCCCCCAGAACAGAAGAAACACAGGGCTAGATATACTTTTCTAAATGACACACGAACATGTTCCCTCAACATGTTTAACGCACACACATTGTCAGTTCTCCTGAACTTGGACATGTTCCAACCTTATACAGTCATACATGTTGCATCCTCTGAGTTCTACATGATCCCAGATGTCATGACCTTATTTAGCAGCTACCACACATTCCAATGTATACAACTGCTGGTGAAGAGTGTCAGCTGGTTGCCTATAGATGGGCCTCCTTCCAGCAAACCAAATGAACACCACACAGTCCACTATACTGTTGCTTAATACCATGTGACATTAATGAATATACCAGAAATACGCCGTGATAAACATTCTGCCATAACACTCCCTCCTTTTATTAATTAAGGTCACACAATCAAAAATAATAATTATTACAAATAACCTACTGAGTTCCGCCCTCGAAAGCCCAAAATGACTTTCTGAAAAACATTTATCAATGGGTAATCATTTTACTCAAGGCAGAAGTCACAGGTCACCTGTACTGTACCTACTCACAAATAGCCAAAAAAACCACCTTTTTGATTATAACACAAAAAGTGGAAGAAAAGACAATTTGCGCTAATCTACTCTACTTAAATGGAAAATCATTTAAAAACCTCAGTATGCTTAAGAGGAAAAAATCTATTTATCCCATTCAAGTTTAACAAACTTACATACATAACCTAATAACAAAGTAACATGCAATTTAATACTCGATTATACATAATAAAAAAATCTTCCAAAACACTTATAGCAAGATGTAACTGGCGTCCACTCGTTCTGCTTCTGTTTTATTGTCCAGTAAACACTTCTTCAGGGTGTGCACGTTCCAATCTCCATGCGTAGCCTTTAGATGGAATTGTTATCTTAGCCTTCATGCTGTAATGTCCCATCTCATAGCAAAATCCCTTGATGACATCTGAAGCAACATCATTACCATTTGAATTCGATGGAACTGTAGTCAGAAAAACTGAGACTTCAGTAAAAGAACAGTTAACGGTAGATCTTCTATATGTTCTCTGGAGTGTTGAGATTACTAATATACTTGGCTGTAAATCATCTCAGAAGTTTTGGGTTTTATTCTTCGTGTTGACCCAAACCCATAAGACAATAGCAGTAGAAGAATAGCTGGAAGTCATCCAGCTGCCTTCATTGATACTCCAGTCTGCCTCCAGAGCAGCTCCTTAAAACATCTGCCTCAGAATGATCCATCTTCCCTCCTCAAGATTGCAAGGGGAAAAGACAGCTTTGACCTGGGTAGAAAATAGCACTTGCATTCTGGGTTAACAGCCTAAAGTCGACCACTAGGTCTTAGAGTCTTATCTATAATTTTTAAACTTCTTGAAACCATGAAATGTTGTTTGGGTTGTGTTTTTACTTACCCACAATTTCCTAAACACACAACAAACATCTCCTGCAACATTGTTCAGCCACGGTGCTGAAACCAATCAGATCTCAACTTCGAACAATACATTTAATCATACCTGTCTTTAGCAGAACCCAATCAGGAGCTTAACCATGTAGGAAAAAAGTTGTTTAGGCAAAAAGTTGTTTCATTTGCCCTCTGGATCATGTGAGGGTTAAAAGATTCACGTGACAAGTTTTTAAAAAGACATCTGAAACCAATGTGTCACAGAAGAAATAATGAAAGATTTCACCTGGGATGGAAACAAAATATTATCAAATACATCTTAAAATTAAATTACTAAATTGAACAATAAACCCATTATACCCCTCCTGGAAACATTGTCCTCCAAACCATAGAGACCATATTTCCCAAATAAGATACTTCAGAGCACCCATCTGCTCCTACAATGTTATTTCAAAGTCCTATGACTCATCATCAGGAACACTTTCTCCTGTCAAAAAGAATCAGCAATGTTAAAAATCAAGCTACATAGTCATCAAGCCATGCAGGGATCATGCAGAGTCAGACAAAGTTCATGCGTCATGTCTCACAATGGTTCAACTAATATGGCATAGTCAGAAAACCATTGCCAAAACCATTGTGTGCATCCCAAAATAAAATCACCTTGTCGGTGGGTCAGTGTTACTGTAACAGTCAGGAATTGACAAATCAATTCACATTCATTCAGTCTTTGCAAAGTCTAAGTCAGTCTCGAGATCTCATGTCCTATAGTAGTGCACTTTGATATTCTACCAGCTGGAGTTTTTACTAGTGACATCATGGTGTTGATGTCAAACAATGCAACAAAGTTTTCCCCGTGTTCGCAGCACAATTGTCTTCAGATGTTAAACAAACAAATTATCAATACACTTCATTAATGTACTGCCCCTGGGAAACACAAAGCCTGACAAATGTTCTTGCAAGGTATTCCTAAGTGAACCTGCAGTGTCTTTTTAATTAATATTCCAAATTAATCAATAATAATAACAATAATCCATTTTATCAATCTGTTTACCCTTAGAAATGAACATACCTCATAATGTTACATCAGGATGTTAAACTAAGTTTTAGCCAAATCAATCATACCAAACCATATTACAGTACCAGGTACTGAAGTAGATCATTATTACTGTATCAGATTTAACTGGTGATTGAACAAACAAAGCCTCTTTGTTTACGACATGCAGACCGCTAACACATTTTTCCAAGTTCAGCATCAGACTTCGTTACTCTAAAATTACGTTTTAAATAGAAATAATAGAAACTGAACAAATATTCAATCTTCAGAAATGTTCTCAATAAATGTCTATCTAGTGAATAGCCAACATATTTAAAAAATGTCAGATATAAAAATAAGCCTAAATACTCCTTTACTATCAAAGTCTAAAGCTAGACCTAAGGTGAACAGTTTTGGTAATGGACAATTTAATCTAAAAACAAAATTGGACTTGTGTTCTTGTTATTTGTTTCTTCAAAATACATTAGTAAATAATTTGTGAAGTATTCACAATATAACTAACCCTCTCTAGGATATCAAATCAGTTCATCTTTAACCAGATACCTATTTATGTTTAGTTCATGATAACAATGGTATAACGACCACACGTTTTACTCATAGCTAGTTTATATGTCAAGATTATTCTGTGTGATATAATAATCAGATGTCTTGTATGCTAAACAAAGGATATTAAACTTTAATCTTTTCAGTATTCCAGACCATCGTTAAACAAGCAGCCTCATATTCAACTGCCTGCGTCATCAATCTGTTCCCTCTGCCAAGGACAAGCGGCAAGAGGAATCAAAACAGGAGAAAAACACAACACATCGCGCAGAAAACCCTGAAGAAGTATCACTGCACCCGCCTGAGGAATGTTCTGATTATGGGAGACCTATGACACAAATGGAGGAGTCTCCACTGCCCGTCACCCCCCCTGTCAACGCCTTTGAGGATACTCTTCATTCATCCCCCAGCTCTCTCTACTCTCCGCTCACCCTTTCACCCTCGCCCTCCCCCCTGGAGTTCGATGACCGCATGAAGGCGATACGCAGGGTTGGCAGCATGTCCTTTACCCCCGCCCCTCAACGACGCCCACCAAAATCACCGAAGACAAGCTTACGTCAACCACCTCCCCCCCCTGGCAGCATGTCCTTTACCCCCGCCCTTCCACAACGCCTACCAAAATCACCGAAGCAGAGACGCGCACCATCTCCCCCTTCTTCATCACCGTGCCTACGTCAACCACCTCCCCTCCCTTCAAGAAAGCATCTGCAGTCTCCGAAGCCTGATAAGGATGTGTGTGTACAAAACGCAACAAACTCTTACTGATATGTGCTGGGTCCAGGCTCAAGGGCGTTTGGCACTCGCAACTCTTTCCAGCACATGCCGGGGCCCTTCCTGCCTGTAGCTTTGCCGATATCTGTGTTGATAGGTAATAGATTAAGAGCGGTGAATCAGCTTAGAAACAAGAAGTGCTCAAACGTTTGTGTGAGGTTATCAAATTTAGCAGTGATTCAATGTCAGCCACATCTTACTGATAGTGTATTTAACAAACTTAAACTAGCTTTATTAAATGTCAGGTCTTTGGCAGGAAAAACATTTTTAATCAATGATTTTATCACTGAGCACAATCTCGATTTTATGTTTTTAACGGAAACTTGGATTGAACAAAATAACAGTGCAGCTGTTCTTATCGAATCAACCCCTCCCAACTTTAGTTTTATGAGTCAGGAAAGAATGCATAAGAAAGGGGGTGGAGTTGCTATTTTGTTCAATGACTCCCTTCAATGCAGGAAGACATCTTATGGGGACTTTGCTTCTTTTGAATATGTGGCCCTTCAGCTGAAATGCTCCTCTCGAGCTCTGTTCCTAAATATCTATAGACCACCCAAATACTGTGCAAGCTTTTTTGATGACTTTACTGAACTGCTGTCTATAGTGTGTATTGACTTTGACCGTCTAGTCATTGTTGGTGATTTTAACATCCATGTTGACAACCCCCAGGACAGAGGGGCTAAAGAACTGTTTTGTGTTCTTGATAACTATGGACTGACTCAGCATGTGGCGGAGCCCACGCACAATAAGGGGCACACTCTAGACTTAATTATCTCAAAGGGTCTGAATATCTCAAAAGTTGTGGTGACTGATGTTGCACTATCTGATCATTCCTGTGTTTTCTTTGAGAGCTCTATTTCTGTTCACAAAAATGTTCAGAAAGAGGTAACCACAAAGCGATATTTAACTGAAAATACTAGGGAAATGTTTACTCATAATTTTTCATCCACACTTGCCCCTGCTAACATCTCAGTAAATGAGCTAGTAGATCATTTTAATTCAAAAATTAAAAATGTTATAGATACCATTGCTCCAACTAAGGTAAAGGAAGTGATTGGCAAGAAAATATCTCCATGGAGAAAGGCCATGACCGTGAGAACAGAAAAAAGAGAGTGTCGAAAAGCTGAACGTAGGTGGCGAAAAAAATCAATCTCCAGGTTCACTTTGAAATCTATAAAGAGAGACTTGGCCTTTATAATTTGGAATTGAAAAACGCACGACAGTCTTTCTTCTCTGACATCATTACCAAAAACAAAAACAACGCACGTGCCTTGTTTGCTACCGTCGACAGACTAACTAACCCCCCAGTGTCAGTAGCCTCTGAATTTCTATCCACCAGGGCGTGCAATGATTTTGCCTCCTTCTTCACTGACAAAATTCAGAAAATTAGACAAGCAGTCAGTGCCTCTGCATCAGGTACAGCAAATGTGTTGTCCCTGTGTCCACCTAATATCAATTCAAACACCATGACGCAATTCCATCAGATTAATGATAAAAATTTAGAGGACATTATTCAACTTCTGAAATCCTCCTCCTGCTGCCTTGATATTATTCCAACAGGATTTTTCAAAGATGTTTTTCATTGCATGGCCTCAGATCTACTTCATATAGTAAACACATCTCTTCACTCAGGTATTTTTCCACAGGCCCTGAAAACTGCAGTCATTAAACCGCTCTTAAAAAAGAATAATCTAGATGCTTCAGTAATGAACAATTACAGGCCAATATCAAACCTGCCATTTCTAGGTAAAATCATTGAAAAAGTTGTATTTCAACAGTTGAGTAACTTCTTGCATTTAAATAACTGTTTGGATGTGTTCCAGTCAGGATTCCGTCCAAACCACAGCACTGAGACTGCTCTTGTAAAGGTCTTCAATGACATCCACTTAAACACAGACAGTGGCAGAACTTCAGTGTTAGTATTATTAGATCTCAGTGCTGCGTTTGATACTGTTGACCACAACATATTACTAGACCGACTAGAAAACTGGGTGGGACTTTCGGAAACAGTTCTAAATTGGTTTGAGTCCTACTTAAAGGACAGAAAAAACTTTGTTTCTATAGGTAAATACACATCTGAGTTGACAAATATGACATGTGGGGTACCTCAAGGCTCCATCTTGGGGCCTCTTCTCTTTAACATCTACATGCTACCACTGGCTCAGATAATGAAAAACAACCAAATAAGTTACCATAGCTATGCGGATGACACACAAATTTATGTAACAATTTCACCAGGAGACTATGCTCCAATTCAAACACTGTGTAAGTGCATTGAACAAATCAATGACTGGATGTGTCAGAACTTTCTCCAATTAAACAAAGATAAAACTGAGGTAATGGTTTTTGGAGCCAAGGCAGAACGTATAAAAGTTAGCGCTGAGCTTCAGTCTGCAATGTTCAAAACAACAGATGAAGCCAGAAATCTAGGTGTAGTCATGGACTCTGACCTGAGTTTCAACAGTCACATTAAAACAGTTACTAAATCAGCCTACGATCACCTAAAGAACATATCCAGGATTAAAAGACTAATGTCACAGCAGGATTTGGAAAAACTTGTCCATGCTTTTATGTTCAGTAGACTGGACTACTGTAATGGTGTCTTTACAGGTCTCACTAAAAAATCTATTAGAAAGCTTCAGCTGATTCAGAACGCCGCTGCTCGAGTCCTCACTAACACTAAGAAAGTGGATCACATCACTCCTGTTCTGAAGTCCTTACACTGGCTTCCTGTGTGTCAAAGAATAGATTTCAAAATATTGTTGCTGGTTTATAAAGCTTTGAATGGTTTAGGCCCAAAATACATGTCTGACCTACTGCTAAATTATGAACCATCCAGAACTCTCAGGTCTTCAGGGACTGGTCAGCTTTCTGTCCCCAGAGTCAGAACTAAACATGGTAAAGCAGCGTTCAGTTATTATGCTCCAAATATCTGGAACAAACTCCCAGAAACCTGCAGGTCCGCTGCAACTCTTACTACTTTTAAATCCAGGCTGAAGACTTTTCTTTTTGTCGCTGCTTTTAATTGAACTGTTCATATCTTAAACTGCACTGTAACTTTTATCCATGTATTTTTTCTTTTAATGTTTATTTTATTATCTTTTATTTTTAATGACTGATTTTAAATGCCATTTTCTTAATGTCTTCCATTTTTGTAAAGCACTTTGAATTGCCTTGTGTTGAAAGGTGCTATATAAATAAACTTGCCTTGCCTTGCCTTGCCTTAGATTTATATTTAGCTTTTTTTAAATACAGATATATTAGCAAAATGTACTCAAGTTTCAAAAATATAGGTATTCATTTTGCAGAATGCCGCTTATTTACACATTTTTGCCACACAAAATAATATGATGCTGTTTTTATCGTGCTTTGCAGGTTCATATTATTCATAAAAACAAATTGTTAGGGATTACATATAAGATACGTACGTACACATGTTATAATTAATGAATCAATAATTATAATACAGTGATGTATATTATTTTCCGGTGCAGGTACGCCAGCCTGTACTTCTGTTCGGGTCTGGAGAACAACGACAACGAGCTGCTGGCCCTCGAGGTTCTGCACCGATACGTGGAGCTGCTGGACAAATACTTTGGGAACGTAAGTACAGCTGAAGTTAGGAAATACACACACAGTCAAAAAGTTATCATTAATCAAGCTTTAAATCCGTTAATGTCATTAAGATTTCCTACTTTTTTCTAAAAGATTGGGCTTCATTCAGCCACAAATTCCTGAATATCTTTTTATTTATTGACTTGGTTTCGCTTTGTTCAAAATACAATATTTTTAACATAAACAAAACAAAGAAACATGGCCTATTGTTTGCCTTATTTATGTGGGATTCTTTAAAAAAATATATTAATAATAACATTTTCTTTGGTACTAACAAAATAAAAAAACAAATCTTGGGTAATGTTCATTAACCATTTTAAAAAACAATAAAGTACAATGCCTGTTTATAAAGTATTTCTCAAATGAAATGAGCCAATAGGATGAGGAAGTGGACATCATTTTCTATCTTTGACCATGAAATGACTTGTTTTTTAAATATGCTTTAAACGTGTACTTACATATCATTTGGAGGTAAATATTGTACTTTTTAATCCACTAGATCAGGGATGGGCAACTTGGATGGTGGTGGGGGCCACATCATTGATGTACTGGTCACCAGGGGGCCGCAGATTCACTTGGAACACACACACACACACACACACACACACACACACACACACACACACACACACACACACACACACATTCCATGTATTTATTAACAAATTAAGTCTGACATCTTCATTGACATTTTAGAATCTTTCAGGGAACATCCTCTGATAAGCTCACTAAACAAATATCAGTTCACAGAAATGTTATTTAATTTGTACAAGTGGCATGTTTGTATTGAACAGGTTATTTAACAGTGGAATAAAACTATTTTAAACTATTGGAAAGCACGGAAAATGTGTGTGCATTGAGATGAACCATTAAGATGACATAAACATGAAGTCATGAACACTAACCCAGACATTAGTCGTCTAACTTGAACCTAAGACACTTGTAGCCTGTCTCTGCTGACGCACAATAAGGGGAGTGTCAACACAGACACCTGTCAACCCGCACTCTGCTGTTCCTCAGCGCCGCTCCCCCTCCCTCCCGCTGAAATTATGAATGAAAAGTGTATAGTAATCATAGATAACACGGCAGGGTCCGTTTGTTTTCATCTGATTTCAAATAAACAAAGTCTTGGTTTTTAGAATATTAAACTTGTTTCGCCAAATTCAGACGATAAATACAACTTTTAAGCTTGTAAAGGCATAATTACAAGCGGTAACTTAACGTCACAGCAGGCATAACAACAGCCGATGTTTCTTGTGAGTGTTTCCCCGGGAAACAAACACAATACACACAAACGCGTCACAGATTATTTCAAGGTATTTGGCTGCCGAACAAAATCATGTACGCAGCTCGCGACGTAACTAGGAGTCTAGTGGACGGTATCAGTACTACAAGTACAAAAATAAAAAATAATATATATATATATATTTTTTAAATTAATTACGTTGTTTATAAATTAATCCCTGGGCCGCCATTTGCCCATCCCTGCTCTAGATATATCTGACAGCTCAAGTATTATTGAGTAGAAAATACAAATGGACTAAATGTGAGTACTACTTCTGTGCTCTTCATCAGTGTGTCTCCCTCTGGTGTCCACAAGTCGCCTCTGCTCTTGTTTTCTTTACCAAAATCCAAACAATTAAACCTCAAAAAGTGTTTAAAAAGAAAATGGAGTGAAAAGACGCTCATTATATCATTTCTGTTTTAATTTAATTTCCCATATTTCTTTATCAACCTGCCATTCCTACAATCTTTTCAATATTCAATCAGGCCCTGAAAACAGTTGTTTATCATCGTATCTCCTGTTGTTATTACCTTACATTACTTTAAACCAAAGTGTCCTTGGTCTGTTGTGTAACTGGTGTGTGTTTCTGTGTGCAGGTGTGTGAGTTGGACCTTATTTTTAACTTTGAGAAGGCGTACTACATCCTGGACGAGTTCTTGATGGGAGGAGAAGTTTTAGAAACGTCCAAAGTGGCTGTGAGTGCTTCCATGGAGGAGGCGGACACTCTGCAGGAGGTACTGTGAGCTTTATGTACTATATATGCAGTATAAACTGGCAAAAAATACACATATGGATGATGACTCGGCAATACAAACATCACAAAAGAATAAAAACAGGGAGAAAATACAACATTTGGACAAGAAAAATCAAGAGAGAGGAAAAACTAAATGAATAGCAGCTTTTTAAACAATTATGTTGACACCGATAAACCGAAAACACACAACATGCAAAGCGTGAGTTCAATAGTTTTACATTTTTTCCAATTTCATGTTGTGTTTGCAATGGTTTGTGGTCATTACTTGTACTGTGTTTTCTTAGAAACTTAAGTCCAGATTACTTCCTGATTCGGTGTGTAATGTAAATATTGTACGATCAGTTTCATTTCCTTTGCTCTAACATTTCACTGTCTTTGTAATTTGCATGTTTTTATTTGTCCTGAATTGTTTGCGTCTGTGTTGCATGTTTTTTATCGATTTTAAAACAGAACGTTATACTACATTTATAAATCTGAGTACAGATAGAAAATGTCTTGGCTAACTCTGACACATTTACATCAATGTTAATAGAGTGGTGCAGTGACGTCCTAAAACCTGGAAGTGAGTCAGCATTTCCCCACTTCCTGTTCCCTCGTCTCAGAGCCAATGGTGATTTCTGAAGAGTTTACGTGTCTGAAAAACGATGGTTGTTACCAAGTGGCTGAATAGGACTACAGAAGTTGTCGAGGACGTTGTACGTTATTACGCCGAACACGTAAACACTCCTCTAAGTTTGTTTCTGTTCTGCTTGAAAGCAAGTCCCTGCCTCCTGCTAACTGTTCAAACAAACGCTTCAACTTGTTCCATTTAGAATCTGTATGTTTGAATATGGATCATAAGTTGGCGTGACGTTGAAGTCGTGCTGCTGTACTCGGCTGTACTACCTTTAGCATAACATTAGCATTTTGCTTCTGGCCATTAGATTTATGATTCGAAATGTATAAAAGTAGGGTAGACGTGTGGAGATTATCCGGTTGAACAAAACATGCATTTATCAAACAGGTTCGTTTTCCACAGACCTTATTTCAAGCTATTTTCCAAAATGCTATTGAGAAATCCCGTCGCTTTGTGTCGAGGGAACCAGCAGCTTACTTCCGGGTAAACACGCCATCCCTGCACCGCTCTATTGTTGTGCACCATTCCTGTCAAATAAAATATATAATTAAATAAAATAGAAAATAAAGGTTTTGTGGCCTAACCCTAACCCATTAATATTTGTTGATGTTTTTATTGTTCTCCTCTCCTCACAGACGATGGAGGAATACATGAGCAAGCCCACCTACTGAAGACAAGGATTTCTCACTTTTCAAAACTTGAAACAAAAGGTTCATTATTTCTCGTTTTAATTGAGTAATAATGACTCATTTGACGTCATGCTGTGGTCCTCCAACAGCCACAATCTGTGTCGTTTTGAACAATTGTAATCATGTTTGACACACTAAGTGCCTTTTAAAGCCTCATGTTAATTAATCTCAGGGTTTTACGACTGAAAGTAGTCTCTTTATTACGTGTAAATATGTTTTTGTACTCTCAGCGGTGATACATGTCAGGCATTGTGTGATGGTGAGGAAATGAAGAAACACTACACAGTAAGGAAAAAATAAAGTCAATGCTTTATTAACCTCAGGAATGTCACATATGACCACATTTAAGAAAGAATTACCCCAAAAAAACACAAGGATCCAACACTGATTTGTGTGTGTGTGTGTGTGTGTGTGTGTGTGTGTGTGTGTGTGTGTGTGTGTGTGTGTGTGTGTGTGTGTGTGTGTGTGTGTGTGTGTGTGGTGTGTGTGTGTGTGTGTGTGTGTGTGTGTGTGTGTGTGTGTGTGTGTGTGTGTGTGTGTGTGTGTGTGTGTGTGTGTGTGTGTGTGTGTGTGTGTGTGTGTGTGTGTGTGTGTTGAAAGGCTGGTGAGTCACATGTACGGATTGTTTAAAAAAAGAAGAAGCATCAAATGAATGTCTGAACTCACATCTCTGCTAATAAATAAGAACGGTTGTAAACCTACTGAACTGCATTTCATTTTATTCTTCAAAATACTTTATTCTCCACCAAAACAATATATATATTTATATATACTATACATCTATCTCCAGGCTTTATTTCTCCTGTTCAGTTTTGGCGTCGCTCTCTCTCTCTTCAGTGTCTGGGCTCAGGTAGCTCATTAGTTTCATCACCGCCTCATTATCAAAACCCTTCGTCTTATCCTCCTCGTCCTCGTCCTCCGTGTGTCTCCTTTCCTTTCTACCCGAGTCCATCTGATCAAAGTACGCCTGCATCGCCCGCTCAAAGGAGCCGGCGCCGCTCGGTTCCTCCCGCTTTTGGCTCACCTTGTTGTTTCTGTTTCTGTTTATCGGATACCGAACGAGCATCTGAGCCGCTAGATACGCCGCCAGCTCGTCTTCGTCCAAGGTGTCGTCGTAGTCGTCCCGTAACGTGCCGGAGGGGAGGGGTCTCCGTTGTGATGACGGCGAGGAGTAGGAGGAGTACTGCTTCCTGACGGGAGTTTTGTCTTCGTCGCCTCCTAACCCCAGGATGCTCAGGATCTCCTCCGTCCGCCTTTCTTCGGGGGTCTTCTGCCTCTCAGGAAATCGTCTGTTGAAGAACGTTTCTTCGGGAAACTTGTGCGTCTTCTTCGGGGACACCGGAGAGGGTTTTCGTGGCTCGGTGGTTTCTCCCGTGTTCAGCATGTCCACCAGGTCCTCCGGGGGGATCTGGTATTTCTGTGAGATCTGTATGAGCTGGTAGATGGTCCTCGGATCCATGGTGTCCCTCTTCTTCTTCTCCTCTTCCTCTCTCTTCTTCTCCTCTTCCTCTATCTCTCTCTTGTGCTCCTCTTCCTCCGTTTTCTCCAGCACCTTCAGGAGGTAATAGTCTACGAGATTGGCGACTTCGTCCGTGTCTCTTGACCTCTTGACCGGGTAGTTGTCTTTCTCGTCGTCGTCCGCTTCTTCGTCATAATCGGTCCGTCGGTCCTCCTCTTGTTTGACTTCCTCCCCCTCTCCCCAGTCTGCGAGATCCCCTCCTTCGTCGTCATACGCCACGTTCCTCACGTTGAACATATCCTCATCTTCGTCATCCTCCTCTTCCTCTTCCTGCCTCTTCGTCTTCACGCTGGTCATCTTGTCCAGTTCGTCGAACACGGACTGCAGCGTGGCCAGATTCTGCGGCGTGTACTTCCCCTCCACGTTCTCGTTTGTGCGTTTGAAAGGCGCCAGATCCGGCCCCTCCTCTCCCTCTTCTTCCTCGTCGCCCTCGCCCTCTTCCTCATCCTCAAACATCAGCGGCATCTTCCTGTGGGGCTTGATGCCGTGTTGTTGCACCCTGGGGCGAAGCGGCGTCTGTTTTGAGGCTTGCTCCGTCTCCTGGAGGGTGCTGAGCACAGCCTGCAGCAGCTCCTCACTCTTATCCTCCCTGCCTTCATCATCCTCCTCATCCTCCTCTTCCTCTTTCGGAGCCAGCCTCAGCATCGCTCTCAGCTTCTCGGCGTCGTCTACATCGTATCCCGTACTCGTGCCGCTCCTCTGACGCAGGCTCTCGATGAACTCCAGAGCTTTGAGCATGTCGTCGTTGGGGCTCTGCAGGAAGTCGCCTCCTCCTCCTCCTCCTCCTCCTCCTCTCTGGGATTCACTTCCTCGCTGCCGGAGAGAAGCCCCCCGAACGTGAGAGGAGGCGAAGAGGAAGACGAAGAGGAAGATGAAGTGGGTGCAACAGATGAGGAAAGGTTTGCCTGTGGGGAGTGACGGCATGGTGACGCCTGCAGAGGAGAGACACAAAGAGACCGAAGTCAGAGATGACCTTTTTACACGTAAAGCTGACATGTTCACAACGGATACCACCGTGGCATTTACCGTGAAAGCCTTTCGCTCTCATCGTCACTTTGAATGTCCGGTGTGATGATAGACCGCAGAGACACTGATGTAAAAGCACTCGGGTTTAAACCAGGTCAAACTAACAGTGTATAATCTATATTTGAACAGAGTAATTGAGAACAACATCTCTCAATCTGTAAATGAATATGCAATACCAAAAAAGGTGTAATACTTAAATCAGGTATCTTTTTAAAACCATTTTAGTGCCTCAATTAACTTAAACAATATTTATATTAACTTGACCAAATCCTGTTAACAACAACAAAAACTGTTTCTTTGTCCGGTTAACTTGAATTATGCTTGTTGTTTTTTATTTTTGACATTAAAGAAAACATGAAATATGCTGCATTTAAAAAATAATGTAACCAAATCAGGATGATTGCTAAGAAGCAACTGGTGGTCACTATTTAATTCACTATATTTGTTTATAATGATAATAATACAAAATAAATAATAATAGTATATGTAAAATACATTTATAGAAATATAATAAAATATCAAAGTAATAAATAAATACATGATAATAAAAATAAATAAAATAATGCTGAAATTAATAGAAATAATTAATACAATTAATAATTACAAATGTGTATATATAATAAATATAAAAGTAATAAATAAATACATGATGATAATACAAATAAATAAAATAATGTTAAAAATAATGATTACATAAAAATAACTAACAAATAAATTAATTAATATGTATAATAAATATATAACTGGGTGTTCAGTGTGTTGCTGCCTGTTGCTGCTGCAGCCCTCCTGTTTGCAGCAGTAATAACAGCGCTATTCAGCTCTCGTGCAAATCTCATTAGTTCTTCAAATTGCTGCTCTCCGCGAGTCACGGCCCCGTTGTCAAGGCAACCCGGTAAGACTGATGTTTCCATGGAACCCTCCCGTTTACCGTTAATATGCTTAAAACGGCTATTATTACCGTTTTCTTTTTACTCGGAATGGAAAAAAAAAAACGTTTGATAAAGATGAAGTGCCTGTCCTGAACTGCGCGTGCAAAATTCGCTCAAACATGTTTTTTTTTAATGCAAATTCCTGCACAAATAAGACTATTTTGATAATTGAAACTTTTGTAGGAGTAGGAGTCACAGAAAGCGATGCAAAACACACGAAAAGCGACGATGCAAACGTAATTGCTGCCGTTTTTAAGTCCGTTTACTTTTTCTTTCATTTTCCCAACCTAATTTAAAATCGCAAAACTTCCTCGTTATCATTTTTTACGTTTAGTTTTTTTACCCTTATAAGATAAAAACGGTAACAATCTCGGATAATCCGTAGCGAAATGAGAACAAAGAGACCTCTTCGCCCTACAGATGTGGCGGTGCATCAGGTTGGTAAACAGCTCCTGAAACAAAAGCTGATGTAACAAAGAAAAACCACAACAACCCCTCCCTCTCTATTCTTATATCGTGTGACAGTAAACACGCAAAGAGTGTAGCGTGGTTCGTGCATTCAATCACAACCTTACCTTGTGTTAGTAGTTAGTGAGGAGGAGGCTCTCTCCGTCTCTGTGTGAGTCTGATTCAGCACCGCGGACAGCTATTAGAGGAACCACCTGACCCGTGCGTCACAAAGCGAGGAGATGCGTAACACACACACACACACACACACACACACACACACACACACACACACACACACACACACACACACACACACACACACACACACACACACACACACACACACACACACACACACACACACACACACACACACACTTCATTTGAGTCAGCCAAACAGAGCTGCTCCTCTCTTTGAACATGAACTGAAACTATATTTGTGACCCAGAACATCTCGGTGGCTGCATAATGGATTCTGTCGCAGTCTGTGATGAAATGAATACATTCATAATGGGGCTATATTTAGGAGCATTGACTGGCTCATAATACTCTTCTTTCTTGGCAGTGATGTGAGCAGTGATGGGGGTTTGTGAGTCTGAGTATTTAAAAGATTCAAAGGCTTTATTTTCATATGCACATTAGCTGGTTTTGCGAGAAGAGAATCTTTAGTCCCATGTCTCCGCCTATAATAAAAGATAAATGAAAATAATGCAAGAGAGTGGGGAAAGTGAGACATCGGTGCAGGTAAAATGCAGAATTAAGAATGTAAATACATAGAGTAAGATTATATGTAGAAATCATATTATTGTGTATTATTATTATTATTATAAATAAATATGTAGACTGTAAACAAATATGTGAGTTCATCTAGTGGGGAATTTCAGAGAAAAGACACTTATTCACCCTTTAAATGGTTGTTATCTGCATTTAATTGCTAAATAAATGAGGTTTAATTGCTTAAAAATACACTTAATAAATGTTTTTCCCCCTTTGAATAATTTTATTTATTTACCGCCTGTATATTAGACTCATAATAATACCCCCCCTGTAGTTGAGACTGTTAATTTGCTGTTTTCATTCACTGTGTCTCTGCTGCAGCACTGAGGGACGGAGACAGTTAAAGAGTCCAGCGATGACTCACACATACGGACTCCGCCAAAGAGCCTGAGACGGGGCGGGGTGACAGAGGGACTGCAGAGTGTGTGTGTGTGTGTGTGTGTGTGTGTGTGTGTGTGTGTGTGTGTGTGTGTGTGTGTGTGTGTGTGTGTGTGTGTGTGTGTGTGTGTGTGTGTGTGTGTGTGTGTGTGTGTGTGTGTGTGTGTGTGTGTGTGTGTGTGTGTGTGTGTGTGTGTGTGTGTGTGTGTGTGGAAGCAAGAGCGCACTTTTGTCGTCAGCCAGCCTGCACAGGGTCTCTATTTTTGGCTGCCTGTCAAATCTTGTCTGGTACAGATGTGTGTGTGTGTAGCTCTCAGATTCATTCATAAATCCCCCTCGTCGCTGTGCCCGATGTGAGCTCAGGCTATCCTCTGCTCGCCTGCTTGTGTGATATTCAGTGAATTTAGTTTTCAGCTTTGTCCCAGTATATAAGCACTCTCTGTTTGTGGGTTTCTCTACATTTGTATGAAGCAAAAACCATCATACTGTGGAAATACAAATGTAAACTTCTGAATCTGAATAAAGAAATCTGTGTGGATGTTTATACTTCTTTATAGCATTTATAATCACCATAACAATGTTTTTTATTGCACCCGAATATGTTCTGACAAACCAATGGCACAATTTTCTGCTGCATTTGTGGTGTGCAAAACGAGTGATGAGTCATACAAAAACATCCCAGTCATTAAAGTCCCAGTCCTGTCATATTCACAATGTATGGATTCATATTGATGTAATTATATCTCTGTCTTTTTTCCCCTGCAGCAAGAGTGACCGTTATTAGTATAAATTCAACCTTTACATTGTTGTCATACTGGATATTTAAGGACAAGAAAGGAACATATTGATATACAGATGTGAGTTTGACTGAAGAAATGTGTGTTTCAGTTAAAAAATCTTTAATATTTGTGGTTTGGAGCATTTCCATCCATCCATCTTCTCCCGCTTATCCGTGGTCGGGTCTCGGAGGTATCAGTTCCAGCAGAGAGCCCCAAACGTTCCTTTCCCCACATCAACCAGCTCTGACCGGGGGATCCCAAGGCGCTCCCAGGCCAGAGAAGAGATATAATCCCTCCACCTGGTCCTAGGTCTACCCCTCGGTCTCTTCCCAGCTGGACGTGCCTGGAACACCTCCCTAGGGAGGCGCCCAGGTGGCATCCTTACTAGGTGCCCGAACCACCTCAACTGGCTACTTTCGACACGAAGGAGGAGCGGTTCAACTCCGAGTCCCTCCCGGATGTCTGAACTTCTCACCTTATCCCTAAGGGAGACGCCAGACACCCTGCGGAGAAAACCCATCTCGGCCGCTTGTATCCGCAATCTCGTTCTTTCGGTCATGACCCATCCTTCATGACCATAGGTGAGGGTAGGAACGGAAATGGCCCGGTAGACAGAGAGCTTTGCCTTCTGGCTCAGCTCTCTTTTCGTCACAACGGTGCGGTAAAGCGACTGCAGTACCGCTCCCGCTGCTCCGATTCTCCGGCCCATCTCACGCTCCATTGTTCCCTCACTCGAGAACAAGATCCCGAGATACTTGAACTCCTTCACTTGGGGTAAGGACTCATTCCCTACTTGGAGCATTTATAATCACCATAAAATCATCTGTATTGCACCCGAATATGTTCTGACAAACCAGTTGAATAATTTCCCGCCGCATTTGTAGCATGGACAAAAAAAACAACGAGCGGTGAGTCATACCAAAATAGTCCTGTCATATCACAACGTGTATATATTGATTGACATTGATGCACATCAAATATATTCTGGTATATTTTTTCCCCTGGAGGAACGCAGCAAGAGTCATTCTTATTGGACGACCTCGCTAATGTTGTCATACCAGATATTTAAGGAGCAGAAAGAAAAAGAAACCAGGACAAAAGAGATGATTTTAATCTCATGTCTCCGTCAGCCTGATTACATTTTCCCTCGTGACACACACACACACACACACACACACACACATGCTTACACACACACACACACACACACACACACACGCGCATGCAAACACACACACACACACACACGCATGCAAACACACACACACACACACACACACACACACACACACACACACACACACACACACGCATGCAAACACACACGCACACACACCCAGTGCCCGTTTTGTACTGACAGAGCCTGAGCTGTCAGGCTAATTGCTTGCGGGTTTTGTCTGTGGCAGGATTACTAGTAAACAGAAACCAATTACAGCTCAGTTCCGCCCCCATTTCTACTGCCAGGCCAGTATAAAAAAACACAAGGTTTTCCTCAGGTCAAATGAGAAGTTTCATACAGGCAATTAGTCGTTATTCCCCTCTCTTGCTGGGCAGTGTGGTGTCATCGCTGGAGGTCACATTTTTATAAACGTTGGTGGGTGTGAAGCTTTTCCAGCAAAGGAACTAACTAAGGTTAGGTCATGTTATAGTCTCATAAAACTGGGCTGTATTTGAGCCGTAGTATGGCTAGTTTTTATATATTTTAATATTCAGATAGAGCTGCTAGAATTTGTGTATGAACTATATTTGTAAGACTTTCCAGTAGAAATGTGACTTTACTCCAACCCTTAAAAGAAGTGCACTTACCACAGTCCACAGTAATGTTGTAAACCTTTTTACCTTTCTACTCGAGAGGCCCAAAATAAATTGTTTCCATTTCTAAATGTTTGCAGAATATTTGTTTCCATTTAACCCGGTTCTCGGAAAAATAGCCTACTTCTAAAATTATCAACATGACCAAAGGCAAAGGTAAAGTGTAGGATACCTTTTTGATTTGCAAGGGTACACAATCAATGTTTTTTGAGGGTGTGTATTTTATGTATGAATAGGCCTACCATCTTTTAGAAGATAACGCAGTGCATTCAAAGTGCTTAATAAAATAAATGTAAAACGGTATTAGCATCGATGTTATACTTAAAGTAAGCTACCAAAACTAAAATGAGGCTATCCTTATTTTAATGGTAATTTCAGAAAAGTAATCAAGAAACACATTTAATAATGTTCTGTTCCCTGTTCATAATGCCCTCAGTTTTTAATGTACGTAATGAACACTGGTGTTATGTGCCTTTTTCTAAAGTCTTGGAATAATTGTTCAATAAAGTTGAAAGACAAGAAAAAAGAAAAGAAAAACGTAATTAGCTTCGATGCTAACCTCCAGCTAGCTTTGATGCTAACCTCCAGCTAGAACCGTAGAAGATATCGTCAGCCCAACAACAGAGGACAGTAAGCCGGATATCGCACTCCGTGGTCGGGGAGGGAGCACAGTTACACCCCTGGAGACAAGGTGAGAGACATTCCTTATCAATGGTCAATTCAATGGTGACAAGAACCTGTAATCCAAACATCTGTTTACATGGATGGTCAGTGTCCATCATCCTCTGTTGCCTAGTGGGTTATATTTAAGAAAATGGGAAGTTACTCAAGTAGTACAAATACGTTTTAGGTTCTTGTACTAATTATTTATATTGTACTACTTATTTTCAAGTACTATTTGGAGGCACACATTGTACTTTGTCTCCTCTACATTAACTTGACAACATAGATTACCAGTTACTTTACAACATATTAATCTACTGAGGAATTTTGATGCATAATCAGCGGTGTAAAGTACTTTTACTCAAGTACTGTTTCAGTTTTGAGGTAGCCTACTTGTACTTTACTTGAGTATTTCAATGCTTTGCTATGTTGTACTTCTACTCCACTACACATATGTAATAGTTACTTCACAGATCTGGATGAATGATGTGAAATATAATCAAGTGTTAAATCAGACTTTAGTTCCACCTGGAGTAAATTCACAAGCTACCCTGCAGTATACAAAGTCATTCAAACTAGCTGCACCTTTACCAGCTTTGAGAACACTTTCATGATCAATCATTATAAAACATATCATATATATTATTCTGAAATGGACCAATCTGCACAATGAATACTTTTACTGTCGCTACTTTAACTATATTTTGATGAGAATACTTTTCTACTTTGACTTGAGGAACATTTTGAATGCAGGACTTTTACTGTAACAGAGTATTCC